AAAATTATATGTATGGAATTTCAATTTTTTATAGGTCAAATTGTTCAAAAAATTAAATTATGACATTATTTAAAAAGATTAAATGAAGAAAAGTTTTCCATTAAAAAAAAATTAGACTTAAACCATTCTTAAACAATTTAATAAAGTTGTAGACTAAAAATTTGAGTCTGGAGGGTTGGGAGAAAAAACAATTTGAGTCCGGACAAAACCCAAATAGTTACTTTTTGGAGGGGGAAAATTTGGGTTTAGCTCCTTATGGGTTGGAGAAGGCCTCATAGCATATATCCACAAGAGGAAGCCCCATGAAAACATGGTCTTGCCATCCAACCAGTTTATCCAAATTTAGTCTTCCACTTTTGCTACCATTGCCTGGCATAATAAACATCACAGAGTAAGAAAAACTTTAACAAGATGTTCGTCTGCATAAATGACGGTTCAAGGAATGGTTTTGATTTAGCTTGTCCGAGAGTTGATTCTATATGCAGATATTTTACTCAAATCTCGAGATTCTTAGTCTTGGTCATCTAAATGCAATTGAGTGTTTGCAACAACAATATGCTGAAGCTGCGCAAGATGCATAGAGATAAAATGAACTGAAGTAAATTGTAACATGGCAAACTAAACAACCAAAACCTGAGGAACTTTGTTTAGCAGTTCCCCCACAAACTTTGTAATGCAAGAACACCAGAAGCCGCCCTACACAAAAGGACAGCTGTTATTCAATTCTACTTGACACAGATTGAAAAAGTTCTTTTTCTGTCAACTATTATCCTTCACCGCAACCTATATTGTCCACAGCTATGAGTGAAATTGTAGTGTCTCCAATTTTGATCCTCATAATTTTCTACAATCGAAACAGGTCCTTTATATACAGACTCTGAAGTGGATTAATAAAATCAAATGGCAATATCTAAAGTGGTGTGATATATATTGTTTGGAACTAATTACAGGCTGCTACTATGCTTCTTTCCTCAGAAACGCCCATTCTTTTCCAGTGAATATTTTATCATTGACAAAAATAATTTCAGCATTCTTCAACCTCTCTATTAGTGTATAACTTATCAAATTACTGTGTAATGAAACTGCCAATAATCCTGTTGTTACTAGCAAAACACACGCATGTCTTTCTACTAATCTTTTATAATAGACAAAACTGAAAGCTTATCATGGTAGAAGGAAGAGATAAAAAATAAAACACTAAAATCCTTCCTGTTTCGAAGTGAATTAATGTGGCCAGGCAATCATGAATATGTAGATTGTTGGGTTTAACAATCAGCCCAAACTATAGTAAAACAAATAGAAGATCTGGAGAAACTGTAACTTTCAAATAATAAAGAAGGCTCACCTTCGCCTCATGTTCTCTTTCGCTTGAGTGTCTTTATTTTGCTTAAGATATAACTGATAACCTCCTTCAGTGTGGCTTTCCTTCCTTCTTTGACGTTCCAAAGTTCAGAGATAATTATAATATAGTATAGTCCCAAATACAAAGGAAAAAGAAATACATACTGCTATTAATTCTTTACGAGCTTTCTGTAACTCATCATTGCTTTGACGCTCTTTGGTGATAAGAGTTTGATTTAGATATTCTAAATCCTTAAACAATTTAATTAAGTTGCGAACTCAAATTTTGAGTTTGTAGAGTTGTTTGAGTCCAGGCAATACACATAGTTGTATTTTGGAAATTGAGTCTCTATACTCTATGGGGCTATAAAAGTAACAAGCCCAAAATGAAAAGGCATCCTAGCGACACACATTTAATATTTCTCTTGTAAGGTTGATAAAGTCACTTATCTTAAAAAATAATATAGATATTTTGGATACAATAATATCTTATTAAGATATAATATTTAATCTAGTACATAATAGGTTTCAAACCGATGAATAAGTACATTTAGAAAGTGTGTATTATGCTTGTCCCTCTAATTTGACGGGTAAAACAAACTTAATATCAATCCTTTCATAACATAACTTCATCACAATAGTATGCCCATGAATCAGCTTGAATATGCAACAAAATTTTCACACAACAAGTATGAGCATTGGATCCTTTGTTATGATTGTTTTGTCAACCATGATTTTGATTTCACGGCTTCAGATTTGGTGACACATTTCTCATTTTATTCTTTTGGCTCATGTTGTTGTATTGAAGGTGCTATTGGGTGCTCACTATTCACTAAAATTCAAGGCTAGTATAAATCATGTTCAAATTGCATTGAGGGCGAGTTTTCATCATGAGTTGACCATCCCTTAATAAATAACTAATACTGTAAGTAGCATGAATTCATCAAATAAGAGGCATGAATTATGGGTAAACTGTTGCAATGAGTTAAATATGAAAAAGAAAAATGTAGACAATGATGTTATACATGGATGGAATTCCACCTATCAACTATTAAAAGTTGCAATTGAGCATAAATTGGTTTTGAATCTCACTTTTGAATTTTTTTTTAACATATGTTATGAATTAAATTAATTTTTTCATTGTTGTCTAAAATATTATAACAAAAAAATTTAATAGACTTATAAATAATAAATAAAAAAAGCCTGGCCCAACCCCAAAAATTAAAAACAAATCCCATAATGCCTAGCCCGAGCTCTACTCAAACCCAAAAATTTCGAGTCGGCCCACCCTATGACAAACCCAATAGCTAGGTTAGTAGCTTGTGGGGTGATGATAACCATTATGTCTACAGCAATTGATCTCATGCCAGACTTCAAGATGTGTTTTGGGCAAGATAACATAAGATTGAGTTCAAGAAAAAATATGTGCGGGCGGGGCCCAAAGCAGACAATATATTGCTAAGAGAGTGGGTTGTGACAATTTGGTATTAGAGCTAGACTAGAGGTCTCAAACGGACCGGGCCGATCCGAGCTCAACCAGCTTAAGAAAGGCTCGTATAGTTGGGCGGGCCGGGACGAGGTAATTAGGTTCAATGGGCCGGGCCAGACCATTTAAAGTCCATTTATTAAATTATATTTGTTTTAGAGAAAAATATTATCTATATCTTAAATTTAAGTCTATTTCTTTTTTCTAATAATATATATTAAAATTTAATGTTTTCTTTATATATAAAATAATAATTTTGTTTTTGAAGTTTCAATTTTTAAAACACAAAGAATAATTTTTTTTCAACAAATAATAAATCTTGTTAGCATATACATAATTGTAAAAAATATTTAAATGAAGATGTAAAAAAAATTACAAAAACAAAAGCAATAATTTGGTATGGGCCCATATCGGCCCGTTTAGCCCGACACGAGCACTGCCCAATCTCATATGAGCTAGGGTTGTGGACTCAAGCCGAGATTAATGATTTTCATAAATGGACGCGCCCGGCATGTCCCGTTTATTAAGTGGGCCAACTCTAAATGGATTGGGCCGGGCCAACACAACCCGTTTGATACCTCTAAGCTGGACTCTTGCCAGAAGTGTGCCAACGAGAATGCTAGGCCCCAAGAGGTACTGGGTTCAAGTCCCCATGGTACCTATATCGAAATTTAATTCCTTGGGTGGCACCACAGTATAAAAGTGGGTCAAACTCTCCTCTTCCCCCAAGTGCACACGGGTTCGATTCACTTATGAGACAATCTTGAGGCAATCTCATATAATACTCTCCCCCTCCTCCTCCCTAACGAATGACCAAAAAAAAACTAATATACTTACTATTTAAGATCAATAACTTCAAATTCAACATCTTTACCTACTTACTATCCAATAAGATGATCACACGTGTAAAATAAATATAAATATACTAATTTGTAAAAACTCAATGTAGCAATTGAATCAAACCATCACGATTGAGTTTGATTTCAAATTATTTAACTTTTTTCTTAGTCAAAACCGAACCAAATCAAACTAATTATTATAGTTTAGAATAGATCGGTTTGATGAGTTTGGCAAAATGGATCCCTGCCTATCGAAAGCATACAATCTTAGCTATCTCTTCACGTGGCAATCACATGAGAGTAAAAGCATATCAAACAAATTGCCTGTAAGTTACCCAACCACACAATACAATACATGCATTGCAGACTGCACATCCAAAGAAGGCGGTTTTGGCTTTACACAATTATTGAGCTTATTATAGATATTGAATTTACATTATTTTGAAGTAAAAATGGAAAATAAATAAATAAAATCTGAGTGTCCCACCGTGTACTTCCCTCATCTCCAGCGGTTTACAACCACTTACTTCTTTCCTTACCTTTTTTTATAATTATTTTTATAAACTCCCTTTTTGTTTTCCCTTGGGATTCTCCAAGTCAACCAACTTAATACTATATTTTCCATATAATCAGAGCTCACTCACACTCATGAACACATAGAGAGAGAGAGAGAAACACACAACCAAGTGAAACAGAAAGTTGAAGTTTCCTTTTCTCTCTGAACTTTTATTTATTATTTCACACCTTTTGTACCTTTTTAGAGACAACCAAGTGAAACAGAAAGTTGAAGTTTCCTTTTCTCTCTGAACTTTTATTTATTATTTCACACCTTTTGTACCTTTTTATTTTTGTTTTGTTTTGGAAGTAAATGGACAATAATAATGAGGAAGTTCCATCAGCTCCTTCAACTCCTGTAACACCAGGCACTCCTGGGGCTCCCCTCTTTGGTGGGTTCAAGGCAGATCACAGAAGCAGTGGGATTGGTAGGAAATCACTCCTCAAGAGCTGCAGCAGATGCTTCACTGTTGAAGATTGGGCTTTGGAAGAAGGCACATTGCCTAAAGTTTCTTGTGCTTTGCCTCACCCTCCTGTCTCACTTGCAAGAAAGGTAATTCACAAAAAAGAAGAGAGAGAGAGAGAGAGAGGGAGAGAGAGAGAGAGCTTTTCTAACATAAACCCAAAATCTCCTATCTCATGTTGCCTTCCTTTTTTTCATTAAAAGAAAAGAAAGAAAAAAAGTGAAGTCTTGGCATGATATTGTGAAGAAATATGCATCAAATGTGAAGTTTTAAGACCAACTCATTTTTCTTTGATGTGTGATTTATGTTGGGTTGGTGCCAAAATCAGGTAGGAGCTGAATTTTTGGGCACTTTCATACTGATCTTTGCTGGAACAGCCACAGCCATAGTGAACCAGAAGACACAGGGCTCAGAAACCCTCATAGGCCTTGCAGCCTCCACTGGCCTAGCTGTTATGATTGTGATTCTATCAACAGGCCACATCTCTGGGGCCCACCTCAACCCATCTGTCACCATTGCCTTTGCTGCACTGAAGCACTTCTCATGGAAGCATGTGAGCTGCTAGGAAGACAAGAAAACTGCATCTGTATTTAATTACGAAAATGCCAGTCTTTTTGGATCTTTGAATTCTTGGGCTAATAATGTTGTTGGGTTTGTTGGTTTGGTTTTGGCAGGTGCCAGTTTATGTTGGAGCACAAGTTTTGGCATCAATCTGTGCTGCATTTGCATTGAAGGTGATTTTTCACCCCATAATGGGTGGTGGAGTTACAGTTCCTTCAGGAAGCTATGGCCAGGCTTTTGCTTTGGAATTCATTATTAGCTTCAACCTCATGTTTGTTGTCACTGCTGTGGCTACCGACACTAGAGCTGTAAGTCTTCCTTTTCATGTGGCAATAATGAGTTTGAATGTGAAAACCTTGTTTTAAAAAATAGAGGTTCACTTGTGAGTTAGATCAGTTGATCCGTAATTAGCGCTTGTATATTTTTTTTTAAAATAGAGGTTTTCGTAATAAGAAATTTTCAGGTTCGATCATTCTAATACAATTATGTGAGAGAAGCAAATATTATAACATTATTATGCCTCTTTTCTTTTGAAATAATTTCTTTTGGAGATTCAGCTTTGTGGGGAGCTGCTGGCATAATGATATGGGATTTTTTTATTTTTTTTTTCATTTTGCCTTATTTTTATATTGTTAAGAGATTGGATATTTAGGCTAGTTTAAAATAAGTATATTTCTTCCAGTTTTTCTGTCATCTTCACAGGACTTTCCAGGAGACAGGAAATCCAATCCAATTTTAAAATATGTTTATAAACAAAATGCATGAGACAAGAGTCAATGAAGTTTAGCTAGATTGGGGGGATGGGGCCTCCACAAGTCCAATTTCCAATGAATAAATATTAAAATTTATTTTATCACAGTTCAAGTATCTTTCTCTGGAGCCAAGGTCAACTTGGAAGTAAAAACACATCTCCAGATAAGGACTAGATAAGCCTTTCAGTAAAAATTATGTATAAGTTATGTCACCTTTCACATTGTATTTTATTCACTAATGAGTCCCAAAAAAAGAAAAACAAAAAGAAAAACAAAACTGTAAAGAATCTGCTAACCTAACAATGACTGATTTTGGTCAAATTTTTTAAAAACGACTGATTTTGGTCAAATTTTTTAACAACATTGTAGGTGGGAGAATTGGCGGGAATCGCGGTGGGAGCAACTGTCATGCTTAACATACTCATAGCTGGGTATGTCAGAAACCGCAACCTATTTTACTGCAAAATCTCACTTTCGGCTGGTTGGCTGAATTATGAATGTATGAGCTACGGTACAGTCAAGTCCTCTGTGCACGGTGAGTCATTTCTGGTCGTCGATCATTGTGGGACCCACATTTGATCAACGGTCAGAAACAGCCTGCGTGCGCTCGAGCAACTGGTCCTAGCAAAACCCATGATTCTATATGAGTGCGTCTATTTATCTGAAAGGACCTCTACCAAGTCCTTGATATACACCAAGAACACAGTTCACGGGCACGATGAATTAAATACATTCTAAATTCTATGTAGAAAAATGAATTCAGCAAGTCAATATGAAAGGGAAGTCATACAATTACTCAAGAATAGTACTATTTCAGCATGGTGTCTTGAAACTTTCTTTAATTTTTCAACTATTGTGCAGGGAAACAACAGGAGCTTCCATGAACCCAGTGAGAACATTAGGGCCGGCCATAGCTGCAAACAACTACAAAGCCATATGGGTCTACCTCACTGCACCATTTCTCGGGGCGCTCTTTGGGGCGGGAACCTATACAGCTGTCAAGCTGCCCGAGGAAGATGGTGACCATATTGAAAAGCCTTCAACAAGAAGCTTCAGAAGATGACCAATCAACATTATCATCAGACCTACATCAATAATCCAGAAGCTCACATCAGGACATAATGCAGAAGGCTTGTAGCAAAAGGAAGGGAGATAAAATACAGTTGCATGATGAGCTCTGGCGGGTACATACATAATATATAGAAATGAAATAGTCTGTGTATTGTTACCAAAAAAGAAATAGTCTGTGTATTAATAATTAGCCAAGATAGAGATTCTCTCCTCTTCCCCTTTAAGAAAGAAGAAATTTACAAACCAAAAGAGTATGAAGATGAAAATTGACACCTCTTTTTTTCGGTGTGATGGGGGCAGAGCAGAATTGACCTTTGTCTACATAAATATGTGAAACTAGGTAACAAAAGTCCTTTCTTAAAATAAGATTTGAGAAAATAGAGCTTTCAAGGAGTTCCAGCATATAGTTGTTCACCGGTTTCATTCTTTCCCAAAATCCCAGTAATCACTTAATGTGCATGAAGGACTGAAATTTACTATCTTCTGTCATATTTCTCCCCAGTCCCCTTCAAAGTTGAAATGCAAAATTCCATTTTAATCTCATTTTTCAATTTTAGCATAACTAGCATGTGCCATCAATTGACATGTAAATAAACTCATGGAAAATTACAATGACAGCCCACTAACTCAATAAGGAGGCCTTTTGCCTAGGCCCCAGTGAATGCATCTTTTCCATTTTCGACACCAACACCAACACTGAACATGGTTCCCTTCACATGATTATATTGGATTTCACTTTCAAAGTTTCTGAGCTTGGAATGCACACACACAGAGACATAAATATATACAAGTGCATACCTATATAACGTGCGTATGTAACATAAATACCATGCAGGCAATTAGAGAAAAAAATGTAATAAAAGAAAAAAGTACAGTTCCTTTTAGTAAAGCACTAGGTGCATAACATCCAAACACAACAGAAAATGCAAAATGTTTCATCACTAAAATAAACAATCACGGTTGAAACAAAAGTTTTATACAAGAAAATCGAAACAAGCTGAAGTTTGCCAGGGACAATCCAGAATGAAATCCAACAGAAAACGTATCATCGTAGTTCCTCAGGTAAACAATTCAGTACCACAGTACAAATATGTCATCCCATTCAAGTCAGTGAAAAACCTATGAGGAGGTAACATGAGAGTTAGAATTGTGTTCACTTGTTGAATTGTATTTACTTGTTGCTTCATAACCTAAGGGCAGTAGAAAAGATCACATCAAAGAAGAAACAGCATAAATTAGCAAGAAATTAGGTTTCAAACAACCTTGCCAAAATGCTTTCCCGTTCCATATAACTACTGATTTTATGCTGCAAAAAATGTCTGATCAAACCAATATCTTTGTATACTGTGATTCCGTCTCACTTGACAATCATCCAAACTAGATTGACATGACAAGTCAACAACAAGCAGTACATATTGACAAGGCGACAGATTTATCCTCACCTTATTAAAGAAATAACTCCTTCACCATAACTTCGTGACTTTCTAATGTTAAATTCCTCATTTTCAGTAGCCAAAAATATCGAATGAAATCCGCTAGGAGTTCTAATGGATTAACAAATAGGAACAAACATGCATAACATAGATACTTAAACAGGAGTACATGTTCTCAAATCCTAAATCAACAACAATACTCACATAATCTATACAGACATAAGATTCTAGTTCAATATATCCAAAAGTTTAAAATATATGTTAAATATTGGAAATTCCAATACTTCCCATGCACTTGGAGAAACATAACTAGTTTTTTCAATGACATAAATGGGGTGTCATACATACTTAATAAGTTTAACTTTTGTAGCACGCAGGAATCCTTCTTCCTTCCAATCCGCATAAATAAGAAAGAAGGCTCCACCCCAAAACTCCGATTTGAATGAAGCCACAAAGAAGGGTCCGTCCCAATTTTCCAATGAGAATGAGAAAGGGTCCATCCGCATAAACAAACTCACACCTCTTATACTGACACTCTTACTATTCCCCCTTCAACGAAACAAGCATTTCTACCCAATTTATCTGTTTCAATTCCCCATATTTTTCTGGTTAAGTACGAGTTACAGCAACATATTCCACTATTATATGTCTTATTCCGTGCTAAACCATGTAAGAAATTCATTCAATACATTGAGGAGATGATAAAAGCAAAAGCAACACACGCCCTGGAGCCTGGACATACACAAAAGAAAGATGAATCCCAACGTTGGAGGTCATCATCTTATAGAAACCACAATAAACTCAACTGAACAAAAGCGCTTTTCAGATGCTCAAGCTAACCTGCTTTTAGGAGTGAACAAGATCAATCAAGAAATGATTGTAAATTGTAAAAGCAAATGAAGTAAGCATATTGCCAACTACAATAGTTTAACCAGAGGTATAAAGAACAACCAAATCAGCGTATATGGCTTTTATCCTACATCACATGTTCAGCATTTCAGAGTAACATAAATTGGATTTAACAAAGTTATAAAAGAAAACCTTACCTAAAGTTAACCAATTGCTTGAATGATTGCCCACTATGAAAAGCGAAATGCCTTATTTTTTTTCCTAACTTCTGCCTCACTTAAGTGGAACCTTCTTAATTTCTCCCACTCCCAAACTCAAAATCTCCACTTTCTTGCCTTTTCCCACACTTTCTCACCATCCAAACAAACTCCTCTTCTTCAACGACCCCGACTAACCCAAACCCACCAATATTCCTCAAAAACCAGACAACCCCATTAACCATACTGACCCAAAAGCCCGATCAGACCATCGAAACATCTTTGATCCGACCCGTCTCATTCTCGGGTCGAGTCGTGTACTTAATCAAATATAGCACAAGGGAACCGATCAGGACGCCGAGGATATCGGCGGCAGCGTCTTTAGCGGAGGCTCCGGCAGACCTGAAGAACCCGAGCTCGTCAGCGAACTCCTTGGCTGCGCCGGCTAAGAGAGAGAGGATGGATCCGATCCGAATAGAGTGACGACGTAGAAACGGAAACCGGGTTCGGGCGGCTAATGTGGAGAAGAGGAGGGTGAAAGAGAAGCAGAAGAGAACATGGTGAAGCTTGTCTGGGGCTAACCACGGATCATTGTCCTCCATTTGGAGTTTCGAAGAAATATTGTGGTGTTTGGTTCGGAAGAAAATGAGACGGTAGAAAGTTTGAATCTTCTGCCCTTTTATTTGTTGATCACACTCTGCTCAAAGCCAGGCGCTCTCCCCTACGAGGTTACCTTTGTTTCTTTTGGAAAATTAACTACGGTTTGAAATTTGAATTGGGTTAAAGGAGATATCTTTGAAACCCAATCCAATTTCAGCGTCAAACACAAATAAAGTTTTTATTATATTTTTATAAGGCTTATTATCACAAAACGTCCCTGACGTTTGCGAAACTATCACATTGCATCCTTAAAGTTTTTTTGTATCACTTATGGTCCCTAACGTTAATATAGGTGCTCTTAAATAGTCCTTCCGTCAAAAAAACTGTTAAATCCAAGGGTATAATCGTCAAATCAATCTAAAATTATATAAATTTAAAAAAAAATTATTTCCTTCCCTTCTCTCTTTCTTTTCTTCTTCTTCTTTCTCTCCGCCCTTCTTTTCTTCTCTTCTTCTCTCTCTCTCTGTTTCTCTTTTTTTCTTCTTTTTCTCCTTTTCTCTCTTTCCTCCTCTTTTCTTCTTCTTTTCCTTCGCATGGCATTTTCTTTTTCTTCCTGTTTGCTTCTTTGTTCCTCATTTCTTCTCTCTCCAAAAGCTACTGTGACTGCAAGATGGTCTCCGAGCTCGCCCAGCTTCGTTTGGCTTTAAATTACTGAAATTGCACTAAAACCTGTTAAGATTTATCTTTTGATTATTTATTTTTCAATAAAGTGGTTGTATGTAGTTAGGAGACTTGTTTACCTAGTCTACAGGAGAATCCCTAAGTTTTAGGAGTCATGGTCAGGTTCATTTTTCATGCTGGAGTCGTGGTATGTAGTTCCGCAAAATCTGCAAAGTGGATGTTATGTTGCTTGCAGCAGCAGACTTGTTTTTCTTATTTAAGTTGTAATTTTCTCATTCAGTTAGATTAACGAAATTCAGAGCTTCTTAGCCATCTCTTTAGCAGCAAGCTTAAGTTTATAGTTTCAATAGTTAATCCAACAAAACCTTCCCCATTCTTGTACAGATGCAACTGGGAAAGCTGGATCATCGGGCTCGAGTTTTCTGTGTTGCTCAAGGCAGAGAGAGGCCTGGGAATGGATTGGAACCCCATCGTAATGTTGAGCAAATTTAGAGTACACAACTCTAATTTAGACTTGTTGGAGACAAAACAAGTAAACAATTTACTTGTATTAGACTCACAAAATATTACAACAAACAACTCTCAAAGGAAAGACTAACTCTTACAAACACTCTTTCTCACTTCACTCACACTTCTCACAAGAACTACTTAGCTCTATAGCTCACTCTTATTGTTGACACACTTCACTTCTTGATTCGTTATACAATGCATGGCTTCATGCCTATTTATAGTTGTTCTAGCCGACATAGCTCTCCATTCCACTACCTTGGCTACATAATTCTTTTACTTTCTAGACTATTCTCCATGCTACAACTTGGCTGCCAACTTGCTTAGCTTTTCATAATTCCTAGCCGACATAGCCTATGTAACTTTCTAGAATCATCTACATTATTCTATTACAATACTAGTTACTAGGTCGGTGGAACTTCCTTCACTTTTCCAGATTTTTCTATAATTGTCTAGTACAAGTGATGACTTCCTTCTCTAGGCTTTAATTCCTTGGGCTGAGTTCTGTCATTGGGCTGGTGTTGATTTTAACACCACATGCTTAATAGCTTCGTCAGAAAGAGTGGCAAGATGCAAACTGAGGAAAGCTTTATCTGTGTGCCATCCAATCCTTATAAGAGACACAGTAATTTCATTGGTGCCCCCTCATTTAACTGTAATTACATACTTTGGTGGACACCACACCACTGTACCATCAAAGTAACCAAAAAGGTCGTAACCCTCAAGAACTGATTGAATTTGTTATCTCCGTTTCAACAAATTATCCTCATGTACTCGAATCAAAATCATGCCAAGTAAACCATCAGTTTTGGGTGAAATTGACGACATGATGTGTTATAAAAAATATAGTTTTCCTCTTTCGTAAAGCCAAATACAAAAATCTTTATTTTATACATAACATATAAACAAATTGGAAAGCGTTTAAGGTACAATGAAATTGAAGAAAACAAATTGATAGGTAAGTAAAAGCAAAAGCGCAATGTGATAGTTTTGCAAACGTCAGGGACGTTTTGTGATAATAAGCCTTTTTATAATTAATCTAATCTAGAGTGAGGGAGATTCGAATTTGAGTGCAAGAGAGGGACAACCTTGCAATTGTAATCCAATCCATCTCAATCCAACTCTAGCTCATAGTCCAATCCAATCCAATCTCAGTCATCAAACATAAATAAATATTTTTTTCATAATTTATCTAATGTTCATTGAGGAGGATTTGAACTTGAACGTAAGGAAGCGACAACCTTGCAATTCAACTTTACCTCATAATCCAACCCAATCTCAATCACCAAACATAACTTGGGTCGAAGATGGACATTTTCTTTTTTAACCCTAACCCATGTTCTGTCTTTTGATGCCTCCAACAAAAAAATTCACTGTATGTCGAAAAATACTGTTCTACATGGGAATTTTTTTTCCAAAAAGAAGAAAGGTTTGAATTTTTGAAACAGTTGCTTGCACGCAATTATCACTCGAGTTTTTGTTTAAAGGTCACTGCAGTACACGTGATTTTGATTTGATTTTGAGTCGCAAATTTCATACGCAATTTCATCTGTGTATCGAGTAAAGGAAATAGTAAATAAGAAATTAACTTCAGAATCAGCAATGAAAAATGGGCACTAAGAACAATTCCACATTTGACTACATTTACTGCATCAAGACATCACACAACACTGTTCTTGTATATGAAAAGAGAATACAACTGCAATCCTCATTAAACCAAAATAATTTATCTTGAGACCCCTGTTCTTCTCATGCTAATTCATCTTGCTAATTAGTTCATTGATCTTGTCCTCGCGATCGCCCGCGTCTCCACCATCCTTGTATGCCATTTTTGACCCTTTTAGTCCTACTTCTGGTTTGTTGAGCACAAAGGGCCATAGAAAACTGGTAACCTCCTTAAAATGTGGGCCAATGGTAGCAATCTCATGCACTATATCCTCTATGCATATAATATCATGCTTCCCCATTTCCTGCCAGATAAAAGACGGGTGAAAATTATGAATGTATATTTAATAAACTTTTTAAAAAAGAAGTTGAATTGTAAATTATGCCCAATATTCAACAAGACATTATCCACTACCTGTTCAATAAGGTTGTTGTCTGTCAGAGGAACTTTCTTCTTGTCTATCTTTGCAAAACCCTTCTTGTAAATCAGCTCCCTCACATTCTTAAGGTTTGGATACCTTCGAAAACAAGCAAAATATCATCATAACCATGAAGCATTGGTCAGTATACAGGCAACACTATGAGGGTAAAAATTATTGATTGCTGGATCTTTCGAACAGGATATCCATATAATTCAAAAGATTGATTAATTTAGATTTGGGGAATTATAGTGAATGTTGTCTAGCCATGTGACTACCAAAAACAACTATACTTCTCAACATTGTAGTTCAAGTACTGGAACCAAAAAAAAAATGAAATCCTAGGACTAATACATTAGAGATGACAAAATAGATATTAACTATGAAAGGATTTCAGCCACTTGGTGTCAAAGAATAGAAAAGGTATAAAACTTTTGACGTGATGATTGAATCTTAAATCTTAGTAACCATAGAACTCCCTGCTCAAGATTGTAAAAAGCACCTACGACCGTATGCGGAATTTCTTTTTGAAATGAAAAATCCCTAGACCTGTATTCAATCCTCTGTATTAGCTTGAACACCCTCTGCACCTCCTTGTCTAACCAGAAATATTGTTATATGAACGAGGAAACGAAAAAACTTAAGGGGCACAATATATATCAGCACAAGCGTAACAAAAGATACCGCAATAGCTTTTGCTCACATGCAATTAAGTAAACAATTGCTCCATACATTATAAACAGATATGGCCAAAGATAAGACTGAATGACAGAATAAGATTCCTAAAGCCACAGACAAACTCGTATGTATAGCGATCCTACCCAACTTGTAGACAACCCCCAGCTATTAACGTAAAAGACTTTGTTCCTTATAATTTATAAGCCTTCTTTGAACTTTGACGGCCTCAAAGAACCCAATAAATGTTCTAGACCAAGGCTCAATTATCAGAGAAGAAACCTAACAAACAATGGACATTTCAAGGTTTGATATATTAAACAGTTCCAAAACAGACACAATATGGGAATTGACAAGTAAATAGATAGAAAACATAGAGTACACAAAAACTTCTATATATAACTGCATCTCTTAGAATATACGTGGACACTGAAAACTTCTATAAAGTCCACTGACATCCATCAGAATGTGAATGTTAACGAGAATCCGGTTTCAGCTCCCCTGCAGATACTGAAGTTCTTAACTTATAGTTAGTTATGTGCTTGATGACAGGTTCCAACTTTGTTCTTGTACATAGCATGCAAGCATTTGTAGAACGTCAAGCCTGAAGCTCACACATGAAGCTTAAAAAGTTTGATATAAGAAGGGCAAGAAGGAGACCTCAGATACATCTAAATACAAAGTCCCAACACAACCATGGCAGAATTCTTAAGGCTCAATCAAAAAATCGGCAAACATTAAAAAATCAGAATTCCTAATTGTCTATCACAGAAAATCAACTATTGCTCACTTCAGAATGCAAATCATGAATTTATATGAGAATGCCATTATGTCTTGTAATGCATTTAAACTATTAGAATTGCTGGCAAAAAATTAGAAAAATAGAAGGATATTCAACACCCTACCCATAGGAAACATACGGCTGCACCCTCAGCAACTTCTCTATGATTGCATCACTTGCTTTCACAAAGACAGCATTGAAAATCTTCCTCAATCTTAGGCTGTATAAGGTCTTCCTAACAGTAGGGTGCATGTCATTTTTCCTAAAAAAAAAATTAGAAATTAGAAATAGAGGTTCAAGATAAAGATAAAGGGAAACAAAAACTCATCATCTTAAATTGCAAACCCACCCCTGTATGCGAATGACCAAAAGAAGCTGTGAGTTAGTTGTCTCCAATTCTGGCCTTTTTCTCTTTAACCTGTGTTTCATATGGACGAGGTCCATCTCCTAATAAAAAGAGCAGATAATTTCAATCAAGGACTTCATC